TTTTTTTTTTTTTTTTTTTTTTTTTTTTTTTGAACTGAAATTTTTAGCACGGGAACCGCCAATGACCTCTGTTTATTATACTGTGATCTTGTTAATTGTTTTTTAGTTTGACTAACACGTTCATGAGTAATCTTCTTAGCTACAAAGTTTTGAAGCATTACAAATTTGAATAAGGCACAAGAAGCTTACAACGTTTGCAAAAACTTTTAGTCAGTCTTAATGTCCTTATAATAAGGAAACACTTCTAAGTATCTAATACTGTAATGTTACTCGAAACATTTAAAGCTACAATTATCCCAACACCCAATAAAATCTAAACACCGTTGAACACCAGCATATTAACAATTAATCTGTTGCAAAATGAGTTGCTGCCTGCACCACATGGATAATTGGATGTTAGTCCTTTCGTCATCCATTATTCAACATCAATGGAGCCATAAATGAATCTGCCAGAATTGAGAACTCACGAGCCCAATACAGTTGCCAAATACCATAAGGCTTTCTGCCTCTAAGATCACTATATGGTTATCCATAAAACCAAACTACTACCTATAAGTAACGTAACCTTATGTCGACAAAACGAAAAGCAGTTTACTTCTAAACATCTAACCAAAGCCATTTCTTGACATTACTGCCATACAACCCAGATGGTAAGACCACTACCCACCCACAGCCCGTAACCGACTTGGAGGTGCAACAACCGAGAGTGATGTTCTCGCCACGCCACATACGACCACGCACTTTTTCCACTACGCACGAACCCCATCAAAACACACCAAGACCATGCAGCAACAGCTGTTTCCACAAACTAAACCTGGCCACCCGCCTTCCGTCTGAAACAAACGCAAACCCCAGAACTGTCTTCTCAAAATCCACCTTCCTCGTCCTGACTCAATCACAACCATGCTTAAAGTGGAAACGCGTTCTGCCACCAAACGCACACTCCACTAACCACCAGAATCCCCACTGTCCAACACAGCAGAAAACAAAGCTTTTATTTTAACCTTTAAACCCGTAATTGACTTCAACAGACAAATAACAACATGGAAAATTTAAGAAAATGCTGGAGAAACATTACGCCTTAACTTGCACGTGTGAGATCAAAGCAACAAAACTTAATCGACTTCTTCAATTGTTGGGCCTCCTGGACCATGGTTACTACCACCCTGTGGACCTGCGCCACCTGGGAATCCTCCCGGCATACCTAAAATCAAATGAAGTCATCACACAAGCTCAGGTCTTCATCCCTTATCTCACCATCAAAACTCAAGCAGAACATAAGAGCAACCACCCCATACCTCCAGGCATTCCTCCTGCACCTTGATATAATTTAGTTATGATTGGAGTGCAAACAGACTCCAACTCCTTCTGCATATGTTCAAACTCGTCTTTCTCTGCAGTCTGGTTGCGATCCAACCACTTAATGACTTCATCGCACTTCTCCTGTATTTTCTTCCTATCATCAGTCGATATCTTATCCTTTATCTGCAACAAAACAACAGTAAAAGACTACACTAAGGCGGTGGCGTTGAGGACCCGACCGTCGTAGAACCCGACAACGTACTCACCTTTTCGTCATCAATTGTCTGCTTCATATTAAAGGCGTACGACTCCAGGGCATTCTTTGCCGCAACGCGTTCTTTCTGAGCATCATCATCTGCCTTATACTTCTCGGCCTCTTGAACCATCCGATCAATTTCATCCTTAGAAAGGCGACCCTTGTCATTTGTAATCGTTATCTTGTTATGTTTGCCAGTCGACTTGTCCTGTGCAGTAACATTCAAGATGCCATTGGCATCAATATCAAACGTAACTTCTATCTGCGGTACACCCCTCGGAGCTGGTGGGATACCGGATAATTCGAACTTGCCAAGAAGATTATTATCCTTTGTCATAGCACGTTCACCCTCGTAAACCTGAATCAACACTCCAGGCTGGTTGTCAGAGTATGTAGTAAATGTCTGAGAAGTTTTCGTTGGGATTGTTGTGTTCCTCTTGATCAAAGACGTCATCACTCCGCCAGCAGTTTCAATACCCAAAGAAAGCGGAGCTACATCAAGCAGAAGCAGATCTTGTACGGTCTCAGACTTGTCTCCAGAAAGGATAGCTGCTTGAACTGCTGCGCCATAAGCCACAGCCTGTAAAACCAAACAATGACAGTAACTCCAATGAATCCAAAAAAGGCAGCTCCCTCCACCGCTTGCAAAAAACATTACCTCATCAGGATTAATAGACTTGTTAAGCTCTTTCCCCGAAAAAAAGTCGGACAAGAGCTTTTGCACTTTCGGAATACGAGTAGATCCACCAACTAAAACAATGTCGCGGACTTGCGACTTATCCATCTTCGCGTCACGAAGAGCCTTCTCTACGGGATCCATCGTGGAACGGAACAAATCAGCGTTCAGCTCCTCGAATCGTGCACGAGTAATGTTGGTGTAAAAATCAATGCCCTCGAACAGGGAATCGATCTCAATGCTGAAAACGATTATTAGAGTGGTAATAGATTAATAATTTTGGATATTAACTACAGGTACAACTGAGAAAAATCTGTACAGACAGGAAAAGAGTATTCATAACTGCCAACCTGGCTTGAGATGAGCTTGACAATGTACGTTTCGCTCTCTCACAAGCGGTACGGAGACGGCGGAGAGCACGCGGGTTTGAAGAAAGATCCTTCTTATGTTTCCTCTTGAATTCAGCAACAAAATGATTAACCATCCTGTTGTCGAAATCCTCACCTAATAAACATAAGTACTTAATTTTTACAGAT